TAGATTACTAACAAGGTTGAGTGCATTTTCACGTGCCTTATTGGTTGTGAAATAACTGTTCGAGTCTTTTGTCCATTTTTCTGTTAGTTGGCCTATTTTCTTACTGTTTTTATTTTTCAATTTTTTGAAAAGATTTTATTCATTAGAGAGAGAACAAGCGGGGAGAGGGGCAGAGGGAGAGAGAGAATGTCTCTCTTTTTTAAGATTTTATTTATTTATTTTTGCGAGAGAGAGACAGAGCGAGTGAGCACAAGCAGGGGGAGGGGTAGAGGGAAGCAAACTCCCCACTGACCAGGGAGCCTGATGTGGGGCTCGATCCCAGGACACTTAACCGACTAAGCCACCCAGGCGCCTGAGAGAGAGAGAATCTCAAGGAGACTCCACGCTGAGCTGGGAGCCCGATGTGGGGCTCCATCCCACTACCCTGAGACCATGACCTGAGCCAAAACCAAGAGTCAGACACTTAACTGACTGAGCTACCCAGGTGCCCCTTTTCTTACTGATTTTTAAGTTCTCAGTAAGTGTCTGAAGATTCACCTTGGTTTACTGCTTTCCTGGCCTGCCTCCTCAGATTAGGAGAGAAACGCTTCCGCCGTTTCTCTGTGACAACCTTTCTCTTTCAGTCTCTCTTGTCTTGCCAGCTTCAAGGTCCACAGCATGCTTTCACTCTCCAGTTAGTGGGTTTCTGTGACGTGGTCTGTCACCTTGCTCTGTAGTATTACTCTGTCCCCTCCCTCGGTACCAAGTCTGCTTATTCATCACTGACTCTCTGTGATGTCATTGATTGGTCCTGTCAAGTTCATGTATGACCCTACTTTTAATTTGCGTTTACCATTTCAGTTGATTTAGTTATGTGAGCCATTTCTTTGCTTGAAAAATAGAGAGCGTTTTTGGTCTCTAAAGTCTTTTCTGTGTGAAGGCTAGATTTTGGGAATAGTGGGTGTAGTTTCACCTTATTTGCACCATTCCTTGGTTTCTAAGAGTTGTGGTCTTGGCTGCAATCCAAACAGAGGGACAGTTTTATTATTTCTAGGAACATCTCTTCCTGTCTTCTTCCTGTCCTGGTGAGCTGGGTGAGCAGCCAGGAGAGGTCTCATCCAGCACCTGCTTCTTTCTTGGGGCCTGTCCTGCCCACTCTGTCTCCCAAATCAAAGAACTGAATAAGAAACCCTGTCCGGGACAGCTCTCTTATTAGCAGCTGCTCATTTTCCTTTTCTTCTGAGGAGACCCTTCCATCTCCACCTTTCTTGTGCACTGGCCCCAGGCTGGTGTTAGGGAAACAAAGAGGGACAGGCAGGAGCCTTTGTTGGGGTGTGTGACCTTGCTAGTTGGTGTTTGGGAAGCTTCCTCAGGGCCAGAAGGCTGTTGAGGACCTTGCCAGGAGGGTGAGGAGGAATCTTTCAAGGAGATGGAGTCATGACCAGTTTGTGGACCACTAAGAAATATGGATTCTGTCTCAAAGGTGACAGAACATGATGGGAGAGAAGCAGAGATAGACTTTTATTTGGTGGGAGTCTTCTGTGACGATTCTCATGATCTGAGACATGGACTGTTGGTACTAGAACAGTCTCAGGAGGGAGGTGTCACATGGTCCTATCAAACAGATAATGCCCTCAGATCAGGCCCTAGAGCCTGAAGCAGCACCGGTGTGTATGTGTGAGAGCGTGCTTCCACACTCGGACCACACTGGGGTGTGACATCGACGTGACAGACCCCACATTCAGAGGGCTGTGTGGAGGCACGGGGAGGGGAGGTAGATGCTCCGGGTTACACAGCTCATCAGGACTTCAGACCTGGAAGAGTGTCCCAAAGCCACGTGTCAGGCCTGTGTAAGTCCTGTGCACATGGGTCCCTTTCAGTCCCATAACAACCCAGGTAGCTAACTTTTCTCCTCTTCCTTTTCCAGAATAGAAACGATGACAGTCCACCCATGTTTCCTGGCCCGTCAGTGGCCGGGTAGGGTTCAGATCTGTCTGTCTGAGGCTTCTTCAAACCTGCACAAGTAAGAGTTTTTTAAAAAGGCTGAAACCAGGTTCTTGGACATTTATCTGTCAGTGTTTACTCCCCATAAACAATCACACAGATTGAGGAAGTGATGTCATCTATCATTTGTTTCATCTTAACTCCCTGTCTTTAAACACAACAGTTTTGTCTATAACTTGCTGCCCTGTGGTGCCCAGTACTCACAAAGCTATTCCACAGTACCCCACTCCTTCGGCTTGTGGAAGATGATGGACCCAAAGATCCTTCTTCTCAGACGATATAGCTGAGTTCTGGAATAATGTGAGCACTTCATCTTGTAAAGGTTGTCACAGGAGTAGTAGAAACAAGACCTAAAATAGAATGGACATAAAAAATGTCATTGTTCTCTTCTGTAACTCTTCTGTCATATTGTATAACTCTTATATAATCCCTGACTTATGCAAAATAAAGTATATTCTCTTTTTCTAACTATGTTTATTACACTGATAAAAATTTTTAAGTATTAGGACTCACCCCAGAATGAATAATAAAGAAATGTTTGCTGAGATTTATAGACAGACAATGAAAATTCCTTAAAGCACCGAACCCAGGCCATTGGCAGTTGCCAGCTCACCCATGGCCTTCCCTGACCACCCTGTCCGTACAAAGCACCCACCAGCCCCATTCCCACGACCACGTTGTCTTCAGGGCCTTGGTCAGTGTCTGAAATTGTTTCCTTGTTTTTCTGTCTCTCTGCAGGGTCAGTTCTCTGTGAGTGGGAACCTGGCCTGTCATAGTCTTGGAATCTCAGGTCTAAAGCAGACACTCGGCATGTGCTTGCTATGCAGATCCTGGGATATGGGCTGGCTATTCATGGTGCTCTCCATGTGTAGAGGACAGCGGCTGCCACCCCACACCCTCACCCTCAGGAGGGGCACTCAGCTTCTCCAGTCCTCTGTTTTCTCTGTCCTCCAGTG